AATGGAATTAGATATCCGGTTGATCCAACGGCATGTTGATGCTTTATTATGGTATTATGTACGAGATGATTGGATGGTCTCACACTTGTCTCGAAAAGATTTGTTAAAATATCTTTCATTGAAAAGTGAGAGAATATATCTTACATAAAATATAAATAAAGCGACATAATTCACTCATTGCAAATTAATTTTAAATTAAAATCACATGGTTCCGAAAAATCTACTTTTATCTTCTTCATATCATATGTCTTCGATTTGTTTTAATTGAGTATTAACAAAACTGATTGGTTTATAAAAGAAATGATATGGTTAAATTGGTTCGACTAAACCGTCCATTCCTAAGCTGCTACCTCTAGGTTTCTTCTATATGTTCATTATATTTTCTGATGGTACAAAGTCTCTCTTCTAGAAGACTAATGTTTTGAGTTTAACATCCATGGCACATGGACTACTAGACGGTCGAACTCAAGGTCAGAATGTGTTGCAATGGTTGCGTAAGGATCGTTAGGAACGCAATCTCTAAGCTCCGAGGTATCAAATGTAATAAAAAAAGACAATTGCTATGGTTAACAAACAAGATAATGTATAATGAGTTTGATTGACATTACAGGAGTTGACTCAATGGAGGTGGATCAAGAGATGGGAAGAGTGAGAGTGGTTGGTTACGTCGACAGAAACAAAATACTGAAAGCCGTAAGACGAGCCGGGAAGAGAGCTGAGTTTTCGCCATACCCTGAGCCTCCACTTTACTTCACATCTACTCAAAACTATTTCGTAGATCCTTCGAAAGAGTTTAAAGAGAGCTATAATTATTATAGACATGGCTACAATGGTACGGAGCAACATGGTAATATCCCCGTAGGTTGTCGTGGAGACGACAGGGTTAGTAATATGTTTAATGACGATAACGTCAATGCCTGCCGTCTCATGTAACTACGTAATATAACGACTGAAAACATGAGGCAAAGTAATTTTTAGTTTTATTATTGTTAAAATGAAAGAATCATACATAACTAGTGAAGTTATATTCTCTATGTGTTTGTATTGAAAATGTCATTTACTCATTTTATGTAAGAATATAATTCACTACTGACCATGGATAATTGTGCATACGTAACGAAAATCCATTGTGACTATTGTGATACGGTAACCTTTTATACTTGCAAGTTAATAAATTGAGTTTAAAACACGATCACATCACACGCCAAAGGTGAAGACGCGGTAGAGACTTAACGAAAAACTCAATGTTTTTAAATCGGATGAGCAACCTAACCGGAAAAACATTTGAGTCGTGGATTAATGTGGTTCGACCGGTTTAACCGGATTTTATGATATTTTAAAATTATTAGTATACTTAATTTTATACTATTCTTATATAAAAAAAACACTTGAATAATAATTTTATAAATTTAGAAAACCTAAGTAAGAATAGACATAAATATCATAAATATTAAGAACCAACTAATTCTAATGGTTTTGATGATTTAATCAAAGAGTTAATAAAACAATTCTATGATTTTTCTAATACGTACTTTATAGTTTGATCTTTTAGTGTTAGTGTTGACTATTGAGTTTAAAAACAAAAAATTCAAAAAAAATTAAGAAAATAAATGTAACTAAAAGAAACGTAAACGTCATTACTCATTTATAAATCTTATCTTTACTTTTTAGTTACAAGAATAATAACAAAAAAAATTGATTAACAAAATAGTAAATTTTGGTTTCAACCCGGTTCAATTGGGTCGTCGATTCCCAGTTTTTTGTCGGTTCAACCCGGTTCAATAACCGGATCAACTTTGCTTGGATTTTAGAGTTAACCCAATCTGGATCAGTGTCCGGTTCGCGGTTCAATCCGGTTCAATAACCGGGTCAACTCTGCA